AAGTTGTTGATATTTCTCCTGGCAATCTTGATTCCAGCTTGTGATGGAGACAATTACTATGACCTCACTTATATGTGGGGTTCCATGGTGGATCAGTAGTAAAGAGCCTGCCTGCCAAGGTAGGAGATGCAGGTTTTGTCCCTGGGTCAGGATGATGCCCTGGCAAAGGAAATGGCAACCCACTCCAATATTATTGCCTGGAAAATCCCAAGGACAGAGGAACCTGGCATGATACAGTCAGTGGATCACAAAAAGTCAGACACAAATTAGTGACCAAACAATATACTTATATGTGGAGTCTATAAAACCAAATGACAGAGACTCAACACAACAGAAACAGACTCATAGAGGCAGAGAACAAACTGGTGACCACAAGAGGCAATGGTGATCATTGCTTGGGAGGGTTCAGAGAAAAAGACAAAGACAAAAAGTTTGAGATACAAAATTCCAGTTTAAAATAAATGTCATAGTTCATAATGTACACTATTGTGAATACTGTCAATAGTATTCCAAATACTTTGTATGATGACAGATGGTTACTAGATGTTGTGGTGATTAATATGTAGTGTATATTAATGTGAAATTACTATGTTGTAGGGGGCTTCCCTTGTAGCCAATGTGAAGCTAAAAGGAAGCTAATATAATATTTTATAACTATGCTTTAAAAAAAACATTATTGTATATGCATATGAAGTGTGCATAACTAAGTCCTACAAGCTTCCCTTCTAAGTATAAATCCAACAGAGAGACATAGTCATGTTCACTGAAAGACATTTGAAAGAATGTGCACAAAACATTATTTATATAAGACAAAGTTTAAGAGGGAAGCAAACCACATGTCTCTCAATAGCATAATGGATTTTAAAATGTCTATTCACACAATAGAATATAGCAATCAGAAGGAATATAACTATAAGCCTATAACTTATGCAACAGCATAGAATAATCTCTGATACAAATTGCCACCAAATAAGTCAGATGTAAAGGAATATGTAAAGTAGAATTTCATTTATATAAAACAAAACTAATGTATAACAATACATAGTGAGTTATGTGTCATATTTCTTGTTATTGAGGGGTAATGTTCTGTTTACTTTATTGAGACTGGTTACAATAAAACTTATTAAGATGTTGATTTATGACTTATATACATATCTAGATATATGTTCTGACAAAATATAGTCCATTGGAAAAAGGAATGGCAAACCACTGCAGTATTCTTGCTTTGAGAATCCCATGAACAGTATGAAAGGACAGAAAGATGTGAAACTGGAAGATGAGCCCCCAGATCAGTAGGTGTCCAATATGCTACTGGAGAAGAGCAGAGAAATACTCAAAAAAGAATGAAGAGGCTGAGCCAAAGCAGAAATAACCCCTAATTGTGGATGTGTCTGGTGGTGAAAGTAAAGTCCAATGCTGTAAAGAACAATATCGTGTAGGAACCTGGAATGTTAGGTCTGTAAATCAAGGTAAATTGAAAGTTGGTCAAACAGGTGTTGGCAAGAGTGAACATTAACATTTTAGGAATCAGTGAAATAAAATGGGTGGGAATGGGTGAATTTAATTCAGATGACCATTATATCTACTATTGTGAACAAGAATCCCTTAGAAGAAATGGAGTAGCCTCGAGTCAACAAAAGAGTCTGAAATTCAGTACTTGGCTGCAATCTCAAAAATGACAGAATGATCTTTGTTCATTTTCAAGACAAACCACTCAAATTCACAGTAATCCAAGTCTACATCCCAACAAATAGCACTGATAAAGGTGAAGTCAAACAGTTCTATGAAGACCTACAAGATGTAATAGAACTAAGACCAAAAAGCATGTCTTTGTCATCACAGGGTATTGGAATGCAAAAGTAGGAAGTCAAGAGATATATAGAATCACAGGCAGGCAAATTTAGCCTTGGAGTACAAAATAAAGCAAGGAAAAGGCTATCAGAGTTTTGCCAAGAGAGCATACTGGTCATAGCAAACACTCTTTAAACAGCATAAGAGATGACCACACATGGACATCACCATCACATTGACCATCACCATATGGTCAATACTGAAATCAGATTGATTATGTTTTTTGCAGCCAAAGATGGAAAAGCTCTATACAGTGAGCAAAAACAAGACTAGGAGCTGACTGTGGCTCAGATCATGAACTCTGTATTGCAAAATTCACACTTAAATTGAAGAAAGTAAGGAAAACCAGTAGGTCCTTCAGGTATAACCTAAACCAAATCCCTTACAATTATACAGTGTAAGAAACAAATAGATTCAAAGGATTAGGTTTGATAGAGTGCCTGAAGAACTATGGACAGGGGTTCATAACATTGTACAGGAGCTAATGACCAAAATCAACCCCAAGAAAAAGAAATGCAAGAAGGCAAAATGATTGCATGAAGAGGCCTTACAAGTAGCTGAGAAAAGAAGTGAGGAGAAAGGGAAAGATAACCAACTGAATGCAGAATTCCAGAGAATAGCATGGAGAGATAAGAAAGCCTTCTTAAGTAAATAATGTACAGAAATGAAGGAAAACAATTGAATGGGAAAGACTAGAGAGCTCTTCAAGAAAATTAGAGACACCAAGGGAATATTTCATGTAAGGATTGGCACAATACAAGACAGAAACAGTAAGGACCTAACAGAGGTTGAAGAGATTAAGAGGAGATTGCAAGAATACACTGAAGAACTGTCCAAAAAAGTTCTTAATGACCCACATAACACTATGATGTGATCACTCACTTAGAGTCAGATTTCCCAAAGTGTGAAATCAATTGGTCCTAGGAAGAATTACTAGGAACAAAGCTAATGGAGGTGATGGAATTCCAGCTGAGCTAGTTCAATTCCTACAAGATGACACTCTTAAAGTTTCAGCAATATGTCAGCAAGTTTGGAACACTCTGATGACTGAAAAAGATCAGTTTCATTCCAACTCCAAATAAGGGAAATGCCAAAGAATGTTCAAACTATCACACAAGTGCACTAATTTTACATGCTATTAAGATAATGCTCAAAATAATTCAAGCTAGGCTTCAACACTATTTTAGCCGAGAACTTCTAGATGTGCAAGTTGAATTTAGGAAAGGCAGAAGAACCAGAGACCAAATTGCCAACATCCATTGGATCATAGAAAAAACAAGAGAATTTCAGAAAAACATCTACTTCTGCTTCATTGACTATGCTAAAGCCTTTGACTATGTGAATCACAACAAACTATGGAAAATACTTACAGAGATGGGAATACTAGACCACCTTACCTGCCTCCTAAGAAACCTGTATGCTGGTCAAGAAGCACGGTTAAAACAAGACATGGAAAAATGGACTGGTTCAACATTAAGAAAGGAGTACATCAAGGCTGTATATTGCCATCCTGCTTATTTAGGTTATATGCAGAGTACATCATGTGAAATATCAGGCCAGAATCACAAGCTGGAATCAAGATTGCCAAGAGAAACATCAACAACCTCAGATATGCAAATGATACCATTCTAATGGCAGAAAGCAAAGAGGAACTAACTCCTTTTAATATTAAGAGCTGGCTTAAATCTCAACATTCAGAAAACTGATATCATGGCATCTGGTCCCATCACTTCATGGCAAATAGATGGGGAAACAATGGAAACAGTGACTTAATTTTGTTAGTCTCCAAAATCACTGAAAACTGAATGCAGCCATGCTCCTTGGAAGCAAAGCTATGACAAACCTAGACAGGCATATTAAAAAGCAGAGACATCACTTTGCCTATAAAGGTTCACGTAGTCAAGGTTATGGTTTTTCCAGTAGTCATGTACAGATGTGAAAGCTGAACCGTAAAGAAAGGAAAGCTGAGCACCAGAGAACTGATGCTTTTGAACAGTGGTGCTGGACAAGACATTTGAATGTCCCTTGGACAGCAAGGAGATGAAACCAGTTAATCCTAAAGAAATCAATCCTGAAAATTCACTGAAAGAACCAATGCTGAAGCTGAAGCTCCAATACTTTGGCCATCTGATGTGAAGAGCCAGTTGATTGGAAAACACCCTGATACTGGGAAATATTAAAGTCAGGAGGGAAAGTGGGCAACAGAAGATGAAGTAGTTGGATAGAATCACTAACTCAATGGACATGAGTTTGAGCAAATTAAGTGAAATATTGAAGGACAGGGAAGCCTGATGTGCTGCCATTCATGAGGTCACAAAATGTTGAACATGACTTGGTGACTGAATAGCAGCAACTAAGATATATATTATGCTTAAATAAATAGCTTATACTAAAAATATTGTTAAAGCATTCAAAATATTTTGCACTAAACATCAGTAAGATCTGTAGTAAATAGAACTGAACCAATGTTAATTTCTTAGTTTTTATCAATGTATCATTACTATATGATGTCATTAGGCAAAGTTAAAATGTATACTAGAGCTGTCCTGTTTTTATAGCTCTTCTGTACATCTAAATTCTTTCAAAATAAAAAGAATGACATACAAGTCATAGAGAATTCTTTCATATTTTCACTCTGTGGGATGTCTTACCTATTCTTTCTTTCTCATCATAAGTTGCCTAATGAGCTCCTATTTTATTTAAATTCATTGTAAACATTTCTTATGTGAGTCTGTCCTTGGATTCCACTCTTCTCTGAAAGAAAAGTGTTACTCTTTCCCTACTCTCAACTCTTCTGATATCTTATAAAGTATACATTTATTATTAAACATAACTTTATATTTAATAAAAATAAAAAAATATTTTAAAATAACTATTAGTTATAGGTAATAGTTTTGTTGTGATTGTAGTTTTTTGTGAAGTGACCATTTTGTTAAGAACTTGCTACTTGCTCATGATATAGGTTTTAAACTTTGGATGTAGGAAATATGTGAGAGCTGAGTTGATATGCAGGAAGTCATTTGGAAATGGGTCAAAACTTCTGTTTTGACATTCTTGAGATTATCTCAGTTTAGCCTTCCTGAAGCCAACCAGTGTCGACCAGATGTCTAAAGTGCATCCATATCTATGGTCTTATTTTTAAAATATAGGATAGAGTGTCCAAGGAATTATCTGGGGAATCTGAAGATGAAGATGTACAAAATGAAAGAAATAGAATCCTGGAGCACTCTCAAGAGTCACTGAATGCTACAGTGCTTATTAAGGAACTCACAAAGGTAATATTATTCAAAGAACAACTTACTATGGTTTAATTTCTATTAAAGAGTATGTCACTAATGTCAAGGGCTTACTGTGGTTCTTTGAATCTATGTGTATTCTCTCAAGAGAATAGAAGGACTCTTGTGAAGCTATCTGAGGTGGTCCATGGGAGTCTGAAATATTGTTTGTATGTGACCTATAAGTATTCCTTACTATATTATGTTTTCTGTATTTTTTTAAGGTGTATTTTTCAAATCCAATAGTTTTAGCTGTGAGAAATATCTCTGTTACAATCCAAAAGCAGGAGTGCTTTGGGTTGCTTGGATTAAATGGAGCTGGGAAAACTACTACCTTCGAAATTTTGACTGGAGAGGAGGTTGCTTCCTCTGGGGATGTGTTTGTTGAGCGCCTCAGCATCACCAAAAATATCCTAAAGGTAAGACATCATTACTGTCTGAGGTGTGAGAAACATGATTTGTGGGTGAAGGTCAGAAAGCAACTTGTGGGAAATGATAGACATGAATCATGGTAGGCATTGATATCACTACTGTTGACTTAGCCCATGGATTCTAGAGAGAAATGAGAATTTTGGTCAGAGATGGTGAGACAATTAGAACAGCCTTACCATGAGAATCTAAGAGTGTCTTTAATTTTCCTTAAAACTATTGGAGAGCAAGATGATAAAATAGGACCCTTGACTTTCCCTCCTTGGATGCACTAAATAAACAGTTAAACTGGGGTCCATTCCCTCTGAGATGAATCCAAAACTAGTTGAAAGACTTCTACATATCACACAACTGAGAAAATACCCACATCAAGATGGGTAGGATAAGCTGAGACATACTTGCACCATAAAACCCACCCACAAAATAGTGCATTACAACCAGAATGGAACTCCCAACTCCCAGCTTCACACATTTAGCTCCTCAATTTTTTGTCTACCATCCAAAAGACTGTTTCTCAAACCACCTAGTTCTGAGGGCAAACAGGATGTGGCATTCATGAACCCCCCTGGAATGTGGAGAGTGAAAAGGCAGTTTCAACAAGTGCATAAGAACTAGTAGTCCTCTAGGAGCCTGAATGGGCAAGTGATCATTTCCTCAGCCTTCAGGCCACTGTCAGGACTTGTCACACCTTCATCTCCTAAGGCCACTAACACACACAATGGTTTAGACAAGCACAGAAGTTTAAGAGGATCTAAGAATCCCTGGCAAGGCTGGAGAGATAAGAGATAGAAGTGGAGTGTTATTGCATGCTAATGAACTTAAGTTGGTATTAGCTTTAAAAAGCCTCTTGGTAACTACAAAGAAATATCTTTAGATGTTTCACTCATAAAAGGAGAAATGAATCAAAATCTATCAAAAAAAGAAAACAACAAAAAGGAAGACAACAAGAGAGAAAAAGAGGAACAAAAGAACTATAAGATTAAATAAAACACTTAAAATGACAATAGTAAATCCTTCCCTATCAATAAATCTAAATGGATTAAATTTATTATACTCACAGAAAATAAAAAAGAAACAGAGGGGCTGAATAGATGAATAACAAAGATCCAACTATGTGCTATTTACAAGAAACTTACTGGAGATTCAAGGGTATAAATTGACTAAAATTGACATCAGTTCAGTTCAGTTGCTCAGTCATGTCAGACTCTTTGTGGCCCCATGGACTGCAGCTTGTCAGGGTTCTCTGTCCATCACAAACTCATGGAGTTTGCTCAAACTCATGTCCATCGAGTCGTTGATGCCATCCAACCATCTCATCCTCTGTCATCCCCTTCTCCTGCCTTCAATCTTTCCCAGCATCAGGGTCTTTTCCAATAAGTCAGTTCTTCGCATCAGGTGGCCAAAGTATTGTAGTTTCAGTTTCAGCATCAGTCCTTCCAATGAATATTCAGGACTGATTTCCTTTAGGAGGGACTGGTTTGATCTCCTGCAGTCCAAGAGACTCTCAAGAGTCTTCTCCAACACCACAGTTCAGAGCATCAATTCTTTGGCACTCAGCTATCCTTATAGTCCAACTCTCACATGCACACATGACTACTGGAAAAACCATAGTTTTGACTAGATGGGCCTTTGTTGGCAAAGTAATGTCTCTGCTTTTTAATATGCTGTCTAGGTTGGTCATAGCTTTTCTTCTAAGGTGCAAGCCTCTTTGAATTTTATGGCTGCAGTCACCATCTACAGTGATTTTGGAGCCAAGAAGCCAAAGTCTGTCACTGCTTCCATTTTTCCCTGATCTATTTGCCATGAAGTGATGAGACCAGATGCCATGGGCTTAGTTTTCTATATGTTGAGCTTTAGGCCAACTTTTTCACTCTCCTCTTTCACTTTCATCAAGAGGCTCTTTACTTTCTTTCATAAGGGTGGTGTCATCTGCATATCTGAGGTTATTGATATTTCTCCTGGAAGTCTTAATTCCAGCTTGTGCTTCATCTAGCCTGGCATTTCACATGATGTACCCTGCATATAAGTAGGGTGACAATATGTACTCTGCATCTAAACAGTATGTGACATATAAGCATATAAGCAGTATGTACTCTTCATAAAAGTAGCATGTAACCCTGCATATAAGCTGTAAGGTGATAGTGTGTACTCACATGATGTACTCTGCATATAAGCAGGGTGACAGCATACATGTAGCTTTGACGTACTCCTTGCCCAATTTAGAACCAGTCCATTGTTCCATGTCCAGTTCTACCTGTTGCTTCTTGACCTGCATTCAAATTTCTCAGGAGGCAAGTGAGGTGGTCTGGTATTCCCGTCTCTTGAAGAATTTTCCACAGTTTTCTGTGATCCACACCGTCAAAGACTTTGGTGTAGTCAATACAGCAGATGTTTTTCTGGAACTCTTGCTTTTTCTATGATCCAACGGATGTTGGCAATTTGAAGACACAGGAAAAGATATTTCATGTTAATTGTAAGGAAAAAAAGCAGGAGTGGCTATACTTACATCAGAGAAAGTATACATTGATTTAAAATGTTTTTAGAAACAAAGATTACACAATGATAAAGAGGGTCAATTCAACATGATCACACACGTAAATATAACATCAAAACATCTAAGTATATAAACAAGTATTGATAGATCTAAAAGAAGAAACTGATGCAGTAATAATAAGATAGAAAATGGATAAAACATTCAGACAGTTGTTATGTCCAATGTCCGAATCCCCGAGCGGGGAGAGAGAAGGCTTCCAAGACAATGCAACTCGCAAAAAAAGGGAAGTTTATTACTGACTCGAGACAGGGCCTTCTGCCTCAACCATCGCGGTGGTGCAGGGTCAGAAAGCCCTGAGCAGAGGCGGTTACCCAAATTTATAAGGTATGCATAAGTGGTTAGTAGCTGGCTTAAGCGGATTGGTTACATGTTTGCAAAGCAATTTTATTGGTACAAACTTTCGCGGGCTTTTGTTCAAACTTAGGCGTCCGCGGGCTTTTCAGCTCTCCCTTTGTTTCTTACTGGGCGCATATTGATTGGCTGGCTCCAGGTTACCTGATGGGGCGGGGAATCCCACCATTTCAGGGGAAACCGAAACCCAGGTCCAGGCCGCCTGCCAGCCCCGGCAGCCCCACACCGTTTCATCCTGTTTGTTTACTTTTGCTTTTATTTCCATTATTCCGGGAGGTATGTGAGACAGCAAAAGAGACACAGATGTATAGAACAGTGTTTTGGACTCTGTGGGAGAGGGTGAGAGTGGGATGATTTGGGAAAATGACATTGAAACATATGTATTATCATATGTGAAACGGATTTCCAGTCCAGGTTCGATGCATGATACAGGGTGCTTGGGGCTGGTGCACTGGGATGACCCAGAGGGATGGGATGGGGAGGGAAGGGGGGGGGTTCAGGATGGGGAACACATGTACACCCGTGTGCCGGGGTCCAGCCTCAGTAGGATCCAGGGGGTACCCTCAGGATGAACGGCATCAGCGAGAGAGAGAGAAGACACGTGAGATTAGCCTTGATAGGGCCAAGTCTGTGCTTTACTTTTTGACAACCGGTTTTATACCCTTTCACAGAATGTTTTCAAGGTACAAGATGCTTACTCATGATTACACAGGATTAGTATTACATCATTTTGTTTTTTAGGAAAAGCAGGATTTTTTTGTTTTCTAATTCTAGCACATGATCTTCTGGCCTTGGGGTTATTAACATTTTATGCAGGTCAGGTGATTGTAAACCTATTTTCCGTTTTTATGGTGACCTTAACTGAAAGGTAACAGTGTCATAGGGAAATAGTACAGAGTATTATTAAGTAATAACATTAAGTAATATTCTTGTTAATACAAAAATTAATCTTTCTGCAAAAGTTGTCAGTTGCATTTATCTAAGAAGTTTACCCCATACTGACTGCGACTTTGGTGAGGCAGCTTCTGCCTAGCACTCCTGACTGACAATTAACAACCATCTCATTGTTACCACACTAGGGCTAAGTCCTTATTTCTCTAGATCTTAAACTATATTAACAATGGTTTCTATAACACAACCTTAGCACATTAAAAGCAAAACACAGCAAGCAAATCTCAACCCAATAACCACCTACAGAATAATTTTTCTTATGTTTTCTAATAGGACTCCTTTACCCCTTAAAAAGGCTCTATGTCTATTAGGGCTTTTATATAATCAGGTTCTTTATGCTATTTTATGATTAGGATATTATAAGCAATCATGCATATTAGTACCAAGGGCATAAATGCATTTGGCTAACAAACTACCAGCAAAGGAGTTTAAATTAAAACACTCCTTTCACCCTGGATAATCTCATAAAATACCACCACCTGGGAAACTTATTGATTAAAGTTCTAAATTGATTCTTATTTGGGAAGAGATTGGGGAAGGCCTTCTGCCTGTGTCACAGAAATTAGGGAGTAGTCCATTGAGGCAGGCATCAGAAAGACAGATATCATCTTTAAGGTGAGCGCCGGGGGCAGCTTTTCGAAATCCCTGAAAACCTGATCCGCCTTGCCCATCAGGTTTTCTCCCCTATGGCCTTTTTAGGGGTAGGGTCTCATGTGTTGGCTCCCGGCACCCGTGGTGGATTCATGTCAGTGTATGACAAAACCAATACAATATTTTAAAGTAATTAGCCTCTAAAAAATAAATTAATTAATTATTTTTAAAAAAACAACCATTCAGACAGAAAATCAATGAAGAATGAAACTGATCAACACTAGAAACTAAATGACCTAACAGACCTATTTAGAATTTTTAACCCAGAAGCAGAAGGATACACATTCTTCCCAAACACACATAGAACATTCTCCAGTTTGGATGATATGTTAGGTGACAAAACATACTATAACAATTTTTTAAAGATCAAAATAATGCCAGTTGTTTTTTCTGACTAAAATGGAATGAAACTAGAAATCAGTAATAGCATGAAAGTGAGAAAGTGCACAAATATTGTAAACATTTATCCTTGAACAGTGAGTC